TCGAGCACAAACAATGCATTCTCGATATTGTTGAATCTTAGACAAAAGTAAATTATTTTTCATTTCACAACAATCAAATCACACAATGGGGCGATATCTAACCAGCCAATGAGGTTTGTTTCATTGTTTTATGACGGTCAATCAAAGGATTACAGACCATAAGTGAACTTTCTCGTCCGGTAATGATCTCAAAATGTTACATCTAGTTGAAATCAACATTAAATCGTGAGAGAAATTGGATTACTGTTGTTTCTCGATTTTTCATTATTTTTCATCCTGATTACAACTGCTGCCTCGTTTTCTAAACGGGAGATCATTGTTAATATATACAGTTTGTGAAAGCTCGATGGTATGGAGAGGAAAACTCTGAAATATGGAATATTAGGAAGCAGAAGATCGTACATATATTAGATTTCAAGAAGTATGAAATACTCTGAGTGTTCAAGTAGCTGATTTAAGGTTTCATTTTGCTTGCTGTACCAAACGCAAAAGATAGCCACCTTGTGCATATTAGTAGCAACTCTTCCTAAAAAGTTCAGGACCACACGATATTCTATAAACTCCGTTACGGGTATTGCTATTTGTGACTCTCAAGACGGACCAAGGATTATGATGGAACAACAGCATAATCAAGAGTACGAGAACTACTTTACGGGACTGGAACTACATATTTCCGGCTATTCACGTTGCCGTTCTTACCAGTTAGGCTAAAAAATGAATACATTCCCTATTGTATGCATGGAGAGAACGTTTCATAAGAAATACTCTGTCGCTCATACTAAGAGCATCGCGGGCGATGTTCTACAGCTTGCCCACACAGAATACCGAAACACAAAGACATGAATACATAAGGATGATGTTGCATTGGCTTCGGGCTAGTGCATCACTCTGAGAACCCGATCTTATGACTTACGAGCGCGACTAAGTAACATAAAGCCATTGAATGTCAATGAAATGAAACAAAATATAGTCTTTTCGTTGAAATCGAACCTGACAGGTGATAGCTGAGCAGAAATTCTAACCAGTTAAATTAAAAAAGGCATCAATTCTTCATTTTAGCTGTAGAGGAGAACACTTCATGCCTATCATAGACGCTTTTAGAAATAGAAGTTGTCGACTCTCTACATTTCCCTACTTCTTACTGCCTAGTTGCAATTTGCCTGACACCAATTGAGTCCTTTGAGATGCTATTAAAATGTACGCTTTTATGAATCCAAAAGAATCCGATAGTATTGTGATTATTGAGTTCTGAGAAACGATAAGTAGAATCCGTTTCACTCTACAATTGCTAGGTTATAAAATTCACTACAACCTCATGTTTTCAAGGAATGACAAACCAAAATTAAATTTTCACTGTAAACAGAGTGTATTGATCTGTTTCATTTTGGGTAATTTTTATTCGAAATAAAGATGTCGAAAAAATCAATTTACGGAAAGTGTGGAACAAGAGAAATCGCGAAACATCAAAAACTTTCTCTTTTTTCTCATTATCAATGGTGATAGAAATTTTCAATTGTAAGAGTTTTTGCACAAACTGCATCAAAGAATATTGATATCTTCATTGGCTATAGAATAGGAATGGTCATTTAGTCTTACTTTACTAAATAAAGATAAATGACTCCTTTATTTTTAGAAAATACAGATAAGCAAATCATTGATCTTTGTCCCTTAGTATAAAGGAAAGTAAAAATAAAGGGTCACCCCTATTTTAGAGCAGTTTCAAACGTGTCAATCAGATGGGTGTCGCTGCTTCCAGTAGCCAGGCAAGTTTTCTAGGTGTTCTGACTTGGAGAATAAGATTCACTTCATTGACTTTGAAAAGATTAAGAATCGTTCTGGGCCCAATCAGTTGAAAACTACTTGGAAAACTCATTATGTGCCAGAAAATGATTAGATAATCTCGTTGATATGATACAAACTGTCAGAAAACTTGTCACTTTGTGCCTTGAGAGGTGAAAATGGGACACTCAGAAACTCTGTTTGTTGTATATGTTGCAGGGAAAATTAAAATTCAGAGCAATTTTAAATTTCCCTGAAACTTCTCTAGGGGACTTTTAAATTGTTCTAGATTTTAATCTCCCCTCTAACGTATACTTGAGACAAAATGTAAAAGGGCTTCAAAAAATTTAACAAATTAATCATCCAAAACGATTACAACTTTTTATAGCTGATACGTGTGCTCGTACATTTAAACATTTCGAAAATGTGTTCATTTATTATTATTATTCGAGCAAATCATTCAATTCATTTAATATTGTTAAACTTAAAAAGCTTATTCTAATGTGAAATACAGTACATCGTCAATCCCTCGATTCTTTTGTTCTAATGATAATATGCACGACACATGTTGTATGAAGTGCACATATCATTTTATTCTTTCAATCGTCTGTTCAACTACCATATTAGTTTGATATATACATTGATGTGATCATTCATGGAGAATCTGGTACACTATTATATCTTTTGACAAATTGTGAGATATAATGTTGAGTTTTTTCTAAACTTGGAATTCAACTATTTCGTAATTTTACGTGCTCATCCTATTCTCACTCTATTAGATGAATAATAGAATCGACCTACTGAATGATACCTACAAGAACACTCTTTCTCTGCATTAAATAACAAAACCTGTCATTTCTAGACTACGTAGTTAGAGTGTACAGAGTTTCAGAATGACATAACCATCGTTAAAGTTTACACCCCTTTTCTCGTTACTATAGAAACCTACCAAATAATTTTTGACTTTCTCCTTCCCTTCTCATTCGCCATTGCTAGAACCCAGAAGTTGCAAAAATTCTCGATTTGAACTTACACACGTGTATGCTTCTGAAGAAAATATACACGGGCTTAACAAAATTTGTTTCTTTGTTGTAACATGATGAAATTAATTCTACTACTTGGTAAAAAACGACAAAAATCTTATTAACTGCTGCTAAGTGATGAAATGTGCTCGATCCAGCTTGATAAGAAGCATAGGCATGCATTTTTTTAGGTGTTTTATTGTATGTGATTCCAAGTGATTCCATGTGATTCTGAGTGATTCTGAGTGATTCTGAGTGATTCTGAGTGATTCTATTGATTCTGTGTGATTCTATTGATTCTGTGTGATTCTGAGTGATTCTATTGATTCTGAGTGATTCCGATGATTCTATCACCATAGAATCAGCTTTTTCCCCCTTGCACTGATGTCAACATACAAGCTTTACTATTTCAACGGACGTGGTCGTGCAGAAGCCACCCGTCTTCTTTTTACTGTTGCTGGACAAAAATTTGAAGATATTCGATACGAGCGTGAAGAATGGCCAGCGCATAAATCCGAAATGCCTTTGGGCCAAGTGCCTGTTCTCGAAGTTGATGGAGTTAAATTAGTTCAATCGATGGCGATCGCTCGTTTTCTTGCCAAACGATTTGGTCTTTATGGTAAAGATGAGCTCCAGCAAGCTCGTGTCGATGCTGTCATTGATACAGCTGTTGATTTGATGCTCAAATTTGCACCGGTGTTTGCCGAACAAGACGAAGAGAAGAAAAAAACAGCGACAACAAAGTTTTTTGCCGATGAACTGCCCAAACATTTGCGAAACCTCGAGACTTTGGCTGAATTGTATAGCGATGGAGGGTCATTCTTAGTTGGAAATCAGCTCACTTGGTGTGATTTAGAAGTTTACAATATGTTGGAATATATTCTGCAAATCGATGGCACTGTTCTTCAATCATACCCTTGGTTAACTAAAAATCGTCAAGAAGTCGAGAAACAACCAAA